CAGCAGCACCAGCCCCATGGGATCCGTGTCTCTCCCATGGGGATCAGCCCCAGGACAGCCCCAGCTCACCTGGATGCTCCTCTCTGGCAGTGGCAGGTAAGAACCACCCTTCCCCCCCAGCTTTCTGCAGCCCCTCAGGCAGGATTTGATCCTCTGTGTGGTTTAAATTTCATCTTTGGCTCCCCCAGCAGTGCTGAGCTCCTGCTCCCATGCCAGGGGCCGTGGGCCAGGGAGGACCTTCCTCTCCAGGCTAATGGAAAAAAAATGGAGAGAAGTTTTTTTTTTAATTGACTCGGGATCAATAGATAAAAGTATTTCCTAGGCACTTTTATTAATAAATACTTACATCCTTGCTGCCCAGGGAGGGTTCCTGGGCATCTGTTGGGTATTCTAATATCCACAGTCTGAGTTAGTCAATGTATTGGTACTGAATGTTTGACTGTAAGAGCAGCTGGAGCTCTTTGGGTTCAGATCTCTTGCTAACTGTAATTCCAGAAGCTGATGGACAGTCAAAAATCCTGGCAGGAGGACCTGTTTTGTTGGGAAAAGAGTCCTTGGGACACTCTTGAGCAGGGTGAGGGGATCCTGGCCGTCTCAGAGGGCCCTGAGGGTGTCCATGCACCACATCCCTGTGTGTGGGAGCAGCTCTGGCACTGTACAGGGATGGAAAGGCCAAGTTCTACACAAAGAGGATGAAGCACCAACATTTTTTATTTTCTTTTTTTTTTTTTTTCCCTTTTTGGCAAATTTACTATTTTCACTGAGAAAAATGTCAGAGGAAAAAACATTCTGGTGAGGAAGCAGAAGCTCCTTTTTCTGTGATTTTAACTTCCCATTGGGACAGAGAACCATTAGTAAATAGAGAAAAAAAAAAGCAAATTTTTAGATTTCCTCAGAAGCTTGGACATTTCCAGCTCTGCTGCAGAGGGATATTTCAGCTGGTGTTTTTTGTGGCTTGGCTGCAGGATCCTCAGTGGGATGGAGGGGTGGCTTTTGCAGGGCTCTGCCTGAGCCTTGGCAACCTCCAAACATTGGCAGCTTTCAAAAAGCAATTTTGCAGAGTGCCTGGTGACAATGTAGGGCATTCCCTGGTGACTCCAGGGCAGAGCTGGTGCGTGTGCACGGTGAAAAACACTTCAGCAAGAGGCTGTGCCAGGCAGCTTTGTGCATTTAGCTGAGTATTAGTGGCCCTCTGAAGTTTATCGAGCTGCTAATGTCATGCTGTGACATTTGTTGGGGTCCTGAAATACAGGAGGTGTTTGTGGCAGTAATAAATTACGTGGGATCTTGTTTTTCCTTGGTGTTATTAAATAAAGGGAGGTCAGGGTTGCTCTGCAAAGACACAGAAACACAGAGGGGCCGTGCAGGGAAAGGTGATTTTCCTAGAGCTGCTTGCCAAGGGTGTCCAGGGGTTCCTGGAAGGATAATAGTGAGCATTAATGGATTTTCAGCTCAGAGTCCCTGGAGTTAACACTTTATTTGTATGAACACAGCCCTTCCTTAGAGCAGCAGCTCTGATAACGTTTCCTGTGAGGTTCTGACTGCTCATGAGCACAAGCTCTTCTTCCAAAGTGCGTTTTCCCCCCCAGGTTAGTTTTTGTGGGTTTGGAATGATCTTTGCAGAGCTGATGCCTTTCAAGATTTTTAAATACATTAGCCTGTCTTTCCTCAAGGAGGTCCTACAAACTAAAACCTGGGGTTGTATCTCAACAGAGCAGGTTTGTTTGCCAGGAGATGGGAAAAACTCAACCTCTTCCTGTATCATCAACTACTTCTAATGGACAGGGTGATGCTTTATTATTAATAAGTTGGATATGTGAATAAAGGGAGTTTTGGCAGTTGGGGCTGAAGGAGGCCTGGATAAAAGGGAGAATATTTAACAATGCAGTTACTGTGGATTCAATTAAGAGCAATGAAGAATCTGCTTCCTTCTTAATCTCATTTTCCAAAATATGCAATATTTCCCTGCAAGTGCTGCTCAGCAATTCCCAGCCATCCCTCTGGCCCCCAGCACAGCAGTGGTCTCGGCATAATGTAGATGCTGAAATGAGAAATCAGCACTTTGTAATGGCTCTCAAACTAAAATTAAACATCCATTTCCTGGCTTGCAGTCAGATGGTTGGCATTCAGCTGGCCCAGGGAGTGTTTCTGGACCAGAGAAATTCTTATTTGGGCTTTGATGTTAGCGAGGTTGTGTTTTGTTGGCTTTCCCCTCCTGGATTCACTGGGAGGACGTGCTGTACAAACAAGGTGCTGGATGTGGAGCTCGCTGCTGTGTCCCCTGGGCAGAAGAGCAGAGGATGTGTCCCTGCAGAGCTGGCTCAGGTGACACAGCCATGGCTCTTTCTAGGAACAGCTGTTCCCAGCCAGAGGGAGCGTGCTGGGTCTACTGGATGTACTGGGCTGCGTTTGCTCTGAGCTCCTGCTTCTCTCCTCCTCCCACTGCTCTTTGTGACACAGCAGCACTCTGGCACTGTCGGGGCTGGCAGGGGAGAGGCTGCTGAGCTCTGGGTCTTCAGGTGAGGCAGGGAACTCATTGCATTGCTGAGGGGGGAATGTTCCCCTGACAGAGGCACAGCAGAGGAGCTGCTCTGGCTCAGGGCAGGGCTCCGAGTCACTCTGAGGCACCAGCCGGGCTCGCCGAGGTTCTGCTCGGCATCGAGCAGCCTCGTTTCCCCCCCAGGAGGGGAATGGTTGCTCAGACCTGCAGCCCTGGCTGCAGTTTCTCGTGACCCTGTGTCAGATCCTTCCCCTCCCTCTGGTTTTCCTGTCCTGGTTTGTGTTTAAGTGCTTGACAGAAAAGGCGACTTCGTGGAGAGGCTGCTGTGGGCAGGATCTGAGTTCCTTGAGGGGCTCTTTGATCTGCTTTTTGTCACCTTCTGCGCAGCACAAGTATGACAGGAGAGTTTATATTTTCTGTTAAAATTCCCCAGGTCTTTCCCTAATCCCTCTTCTGTTCCTGCTGCTGTGTGAGGGCATTAGTGCTGAGATGAATAACTTAAGCCTAAACCCCTTTCCACATCTAATCTCAAGCCTAAAATTAATGTTCCCCTGCAATTTGGAATACAATAGAATGTAGAATTCATCCAAAAAGAGACACCTGATTGCCCCATCCCAGTGGCTCTGTGGTCCAGGAGGATTTATCAGGGCACACTCCAACCCAGAGGGCTGACAGATTATATTTGGTGTTTGAGGACCACACCCTGAAGTAAAGAGATGTGGAGCAATAAATTGAAGAGTCTGAATCAAAGCATGAAAGCAGAAAGGACTGACTTGGGTGGAAAATGAATGTATTGAGCTAATGAATCATTTTGAGGCAAAACAAGAAATTAAATGTACGCTGAAAGCTGGCACATTAAGAAAAGGGCTGCGGGTTTTTATCCAGTTTGCATTTCAAAATGCTGAAACGAAGTATGTCGGATGGTGAAATCCCATTGAGAAATAACGCTGTGAGCAGGGAAACCAGGATTTGGTTAACAGGAAGTGAGGACTTTGCTTTTCCTCCCAGAGCAGCCGGGAACTGCCCTTGTGCCATGGGGCAAAAGGTGGTTGGGTTCTGATCTCTGGGGCAAGAGCAGAGGGCAGAGCTCAGCGTGCCTGACAGCTCCTGGCAGGAGAGAGGAAACCAAGGACCGGCCTTTTCTCCCCAGAGTTTGGCACAGGACGGTGATTCTGGGTGTTCTGACAGCCTGGCAGGGGGATGGAAGGTGTGCTTAGGGCATGGAGCTGTGCCAGAGGGAGTTGTCAGCTTTTCACTCTGAAAGGAAAGTCCTTTGGATCCCAGAATTCTCATTCCAGGGCAGCTCCTGCCCTGCTCTCCCAGCCAGCCTTCTCACAGCTGCATGTCCCAGGCTCTGGGAAGACCCTTCCAGTCAATACGTTGACTTTTTGTACAAAAACATTTAAAGGAATCCTGTGCTGGAGCCCGATTATTCACTTTGGTTTAGGTCACGCCGCGGTGACCATCAGTGAATTTATTCATTATTCCAGCCTGTAAAGGGTCAGCAGTGGGGCTGGGCCGTGGGGCAGCGCTGTGGGATGTGTTGGCACGGCTTGGGCTGGGCTTGGCGTGTTGGGGTGACACGGCAGGAGCTGGGTGGCCTCGAGGAGCTGCGGTGCCACCTCTGTCCGTGGTGCTGAGCCCTCTGCCCCAGCCGGGCCGTGGTGCCTTCAAGATGTTTTTGGTTCCTGGCTGCCACCAAACACGAGCTGGAGCAGCTCTGGGCTGGTGGCATTCCCAAAACAGGGAAGGATGCTCAGTCCTTTGCCCCCACTCCTTTCCAATCCCACCTGTGCACTCAGGTGTTATCTCCAGCTCAGCTCAGCTCTCCCCTGGCCACAGCGAATTCCCTTTTCTGCTGGGTATCTCGAGAAATCCATGCCAAGAGTGTGGAAGGAGCAGCAGCTTTTGCTGTCACCTGCAGAGGGAAGAGCGGGTCACTCTGGGACAGGTAAGGTGCACCTGGCCAGGTGAGCGGGATCTGAGCCCTGCTGGCCACTCTGAGGGAGCAGCAGGGAGCTCCTCTCCGCTCGGTTCACAGCGGGAGCGTCTGGGAGGGGACCGAGCTCTGCTGCTTTGTGTCTGAGAGAGCCAAACCTGCTGAGTCTGTTCCCTGGCACGCAGTGTGCACGCTGCTCTGTACACAGAGGAATAAGATAAAATAGCTTCCTCCTCCTCATGTTGCTACCGAAAAACAGCGATGGGGAAAGAAAATAATCCTTCAGCCCCTGCCCTGCCTGTGGTGATAAGAGTGGTGCAATCCTCCTTTTGGAGCCAGGCAAGGCAATTTCATTATTTAGCAAACAAAGCCCTTTCAGAGATTTCTGCATTGTGGACGTTTTCTCGGCGGTTTTGCACCAAATCTGTTGCGGCAGCAAGGCCAGAGAGTTTGCCTTGACTCCCCTCACTACCAAAATAAATGTACAGGGCAGGATTGTTCCACTGAGCAGCCGTGACTGGGGAGAGAGAAGAAGGAAGGAGATGGTACGTGCCGACAGCTCTAAACTGATTGCAGTGAGGATTGCTATGTATGAGAGAGTTCAGGGGGGAAAGAGGAGGAAGTCACAGAGGCAGCCGAGGCTCACAGGATGGCAAGAGCCAAGCTGAAGAATTCCCCTTCAGAGAGCAATTCCCGTGTCAAAACTGTCCCACCGGCGACGACAGAAGATGTCCACGGGGTGAGCCCCTTGTTACCGTCTCGGAGGATGGGATCCATGGGGAGTGATGTCGGACAAAGGTATTGCAGGACTGCAGTGGTGCGTGGGGAGGCTGGGTGGGGGAGGCAGCACCCTTTATCTTTCAAATGAGAGGGAAAGGATTAGTGCCTCCACGGGCTGGAGGGGTGGTGGATCAAATCCTTCGGATAGCCGCGTTAAAGAGCCACGCCAGCTCCAAAGTTGTGTTATGAAATAGGGAGCTGGAGCAGAAGGAAACCAGTTCCTTTAAATTTTTTATAGGCTCTTTTTTGATTTCTCTTTTTTTTTTTAAACATGTCTAAAGCGTGTCTGACCGTGGGGCTGCCACACACCACTGGTAACTTGCACTGCACCTTCCCTGTGCAGTATAAACCCCAAGCTTATTTACACTGCTAACGCCACGGTACACACTGTACATAAGCACCATGTTTGTATGGCAGGAGAGATGCTCAGCCCCCCCATCTGAGCAATAATTTATTTGTAACTGCAATAAAAAAAAAAAAAAAATTAAAAAAAAAAATGCTGCCATAAGAAATGCTGCAGCCTTCCTGCAAGCACACAGCTGAGAGCACAGCGAGGAAGGAGCTGTTTTTCAGGAGGATGAGAACGCTTTGCGCTGCTCTGGGATTTCAGTGATTCAGAAGGAGCCAGGTCCCCTAGTTACGATGAGGATGCAAATGTCACTAATTCAGTTCTTGTTCTGTTCGTTCCATTTTCTGTCTCATTCTTTTCCCTCCATCTACCCAGCCTTTCAGCCCATCCATGCTGCCTCACCTGTGACTGTGTACTGTATGTCTTCTAGGATGTAATTTGGTGCAAATGAGCACGGCAGGAAAGCTCCTGCTCAGGGGGAATTTTACTTGCTTGGCTTTAGACTGGAATGAATTAATGCCTCAGCTTCTGCCTCTTGGCATATCTGGGGGGAGGCTGGCACGGAGCCAGGACCAGCAGCTGTGGTGCCCGCCGGGGAAGCCGAGGAGGGAGGTGTGTGCTGGGGAGCCCGAGCCGTGCCGGGCACATGCTTCAGTCTCCAGGTCTGGGAGGCAGAGTCCTGGCACACCGGGGAGCTGCGAGCGCGTCCCTGGCGCGCGGTGCCAGCGCTCCAGATGGCACCGGTGCCGGGGCTCTGGTGAGCAAACACTGGGAGCTGGTGGGGCGCTGCCTCTGCCTCTGCCAGGCGAGGGCTTACACGTGTGAAGGCTGAGAATGGGCATCGTGGGGCTAAATCCCTGCAGCTGCTGTGGCCTCTGCATGTTTTGACAGTCTGGGTCTGCTCCCAGTGCTGGTCAGGCTGTTTGTGGTCTGGTTTTGTGCCTTGATTTCATTGCTGCAAAAAACAGATACCAAAGCTGGACCTGTCCTGGGGGTACCTGAATCTCTGAGGGCAAAGCCTTTGGAGTGAGGCTGCTTCCTCTCTGTGCTCTTCCAAGTTCTGGTGGTGTCCCCTCAGGACAGGGTCAGTGCTCAAACCAGGTGTGTAGGGGCCAGAAAAATACAACTGGGAGACTGCTACAAACTCATTCCACTGATCAGCAGTGGTTAAACATGCAAGAGGGGCTTTGGCACCCAGGGCCCCCAAACCTTCATCCCAGGCCTGATCCTCCTTGTCTTTTGTGGGAGCACAGCATAAAGTAGGGATGCTGCAAGGATTCTTGGAGCAATTCCAAAAATCACATTGCTACGGTGTTTTGGTGGACCCTCGAGAGGAGGTGCTGCATAAAGACCAAATTATCTGGGTTTCGCTGGAATTTTAAGTGATTTGCTGCAGTCTTGTTGTAAGAGACTGCTGCTGTGAGGTAGAGAAGCTGGTGGAGCACTTTGACACCCCTGTGGCAGCAGGCAGAGCCCTGCAATCCACACTGCCAGGATCTCCTCCTTCCCTGGGCACTGCTTCCCAACAATGAGCTGGCCATTCAGATTGAGATTTCTGCACTTCTCTTCCACTGCTGCAGCAAAGGCAGGGAGATTGGTTTGGAAGTGAGGAACAGAGAGTTTGAGATGCTTCGTGTCTCCCAAAGCCAGACTCAAGCAGCGTTACCAAGTTAGCAGTTCCTGGGAGCTGGGAGTGAATTTCCAGGTGATGGTGGAAGGAGATGTGTGTTACAGGGTGTTCTCAGGATGCAAATGATCCCTCCTGGTGATTGAAGCTGGGGAAATTTATTCTCACCTACTTTATTTACCTCCTTACTCTGTCTCTGAGTCATTGCAGCATCTCAAAGCTTTTAGGGGTTCCCAGTCAAAACAGGAGGAAAGGATTTGAATTCATCTGAGGGAAAACCACTCCACAGCTTGGGAGTAAAAAAGGGGAATTCAGGACTTCTCCTGGGCATCCAGGGCAGGGATATTTTCCTGTGTCTGGTGACCTGCAGGTGAGATGGGACCAGCCCAGGTGCCCATGTGGAAGTATCTTCCACCAAAGAGGCTTGGAGTTATTTCTGTGTGCCAGGGACTGCTGTGAGATGGGGATGGAACTGGGCCATGCCAGGGAGAGCAGGCTGAGCTGAGAACTGCCCTGGCAGCAGGTGACAGTGACTGGAACCAGCCAGGTGTTTCCAGAGGCAGGTTTGTCCCTTGTGCTGGGGGGGATTTGAGGGGGAAAGGTGTGACTGGAAGCAGAGCTCCACAGAGCACTCTGTGTTTGGGCAGGACATGCAAACATCTGTTTGGATCTCATTTCACAGAGCACTGATCTCCCTGTAGCACCCGAGATGTGGGTTTGAAAACACAAACAAAGTTTTTTACAAGATAACCATGTCCTGTTTGTGCTGCTCTGCTGGAAGCAGGGGAAGCTCTGACCACTGCCTGTCCCAGGGCACACTGTGACTCCGGAGGGATTGCAAACATTCCTGTTTGGTGTCTGCTTTGGACGCTCTGCCCCAGCCCTTGGCAGGGCTCTGGGTCCCCTCCCTGCCCCGTGGCCCCCCCAGACTCCTTCAGTTGTGTTTGTTGAGCTTCTGATAACAGAATTGTGAGCTGCTGAGGTTTGGGAGGGAGATTAGCATTGCAGAAGAGCTGGGCTTGGAGAGGACCTGGAGGGCTGGACTGGCTTTAAAGTTGTCCCAGCTGGCTCAGGACCAGTCCTGCTGGGTTTTGAACATCTCACTGGACATTTCTCAGCTTCTTTGGGTGCTGGGTGCAGGTTTGATCATTCTCAGGGTGAATAATTTTTCCCTTGCTGCATTTGGTACCTGTTCACTCTTGTCCTTTCACGGGGTGTCCCAGAGGATCCTGGCTGTTCCTTTCCCCTCAGGCAGCCCAAGGCAGCAGCTGGATCCTTCCTTTCCTTCTCCTTCAGGCTGCTCCCACCCCCTGCAGCCTTGCCTCGTCTCTCAGCTGGAGATATTTTTGGCAGGAATAAATGGGACTGTGCTTCAGCCCTGTTCCAGTCAGCAAGGTGGCTGGAGTCTCCTCGGTGGGAAAGAGCTCTGCTAGGCCGAGTTTAACACGGGGTTCCTGGAGGTAAAGCACTCCAGAGAGTGAGGAATTCACCCAAATATGTCTGAAAATAGAGTTTCTGACCGATGGATGGAACAGGCCTGATACTAACAAACAGGACTTGTTAAATGTGGTTTTTTTGCCTGACACTTGTGCACAAATGAACCACAGAAAGGTCCAGTCTGGCCAATGAAACCACTACAGCCACTCAGTCCTTGCAGGAGCTCTCCAGGTGATGCTCTCCACAGGACACATTTTTAACATTTCTTTAACATAAGCTTTTTCCAGCAGAGCCCTTTCAGAGCCCTCTCTGTCCTCAGCCAATGCCATGTGCTGGTTTGCTGCCTCAGCTCTGGGTGAGGGGCTTTTGTGCAGCAGAAACGCTGTGCCAGGGACATCCCCTGAGTGGGGTTTGCCCACCCCTGCCCTGCTCCATCCTTGGCTCTTCTGCTGCTCCTCTCCTGGCTGGGGATGAGGGTTTGTACCAGAGATGTGAGCAGGGCTGAGGCTGGAGGTGCTGAGATGCTGTGCCAGCGCTGGTCCCGCACTGCTCTCGATGAGTGGGGCTGTCAGTGACACTTTGGGAGGGAGGGCAGGGCCCAGCATGGCTGGGGGAGCCCTTCTGGAGGACCTGGAAGGGAATCTGGGGGATCCAACAGGCTTTGCTTCTGAAGCACTTTGGCTGTGATGTGCTTTGCTCCGCTGGGCACCCTGGCTGGATGTGTTTTTGGGGGTGTCTCTGGATGGAGGGCACTGGGTTTGTTTGCTGGCAGCCTGCTGATCTCTGCCCACTCTGCAGCATCTCCCAGCCTTGCCCTGGTCGTACCCAACCCACGGGCTGCTCTCAGCGCTGGGTCCAAGCACCCAGCCCTCCTGTCCCTGGGGAGGGCTGAGCATCCCCCCTCCTGCCAGCCTTGGATGGGCTTCCCTCGGGCTCTTCTTCTGTCAGGCCGGCTCAGTGGCACTGCTCGGGCTTCTGGGCGTTTCTCTGGGGGCTGCTGAGGCTGCTGCCAGGTGGGATGGTTCAGGGAGCTCAGGTGCTGTCAGGGGGATGGTGCAGGGAGCTCAGGTGCTGTCAGGGGGATGGTGCAGGGAGCTCAGGTGCTGTCAGGGGGATGGTGCAGGGAGCTCAGGTGTTCTCAGGGGGATGGTGCAGGGAGCTCAGGTGCTCTCAGGGGGATGGTGCAGGGAGCTCAGGGGCTGTCAGGGGGATGGTGCAGGGAGCTCAGGGGCTGTCAGGGGGATGGTGCAGGGAGCTCAGGTGCTGGGCTCTGCTCTCATCACGGCACAGCTCGATGTGATGGTCGGGGCATGTCGCACTGCACTGGGAACAGTGAGAAGCACGACACGAATCTCTCATGAGCTGAACAGGAGAATGAGGTTTATTACCTCAGATCTTCTTTTATAGACTGATATGTGAAAATCCAGAAAGGTAAAACTCTTCCTGGTCAGTGAACTAACACATCACCATCATCGGTCAGTGGTGTACAGCACCCCCTGATAAACAACAACTGCAGATTGTTGTGCTTTACCAAGGACTCTTTGGATTCTTTCTCATGCTTTCCCAGGCCAGAGTGAGAAGCCTGTGTGACTTAATTTCACACAG